AAGGAGACAGGGTAGGTCTCAAAGAGAAGGTGACCATTGTACAAAGGCTTGAAGGAGGTAAGGAAGCCAGACCCATGTCTATCTTAGTGAAGAATATGCCAGCCAAAGGGAACACCAAAAGGGAAATGGAGAGACATTAAAGGGTTTTGATCAAATGAGCGATAGAAGACTTACCTTAAAAAAAAAATAACTGTGGTTCTATGTTGAAAATAAGTGATAGGATGGTTGTTAAGATGAGTTTATATGCATATTACATACACTGGGTCAATCTATCTACCGTTAATTTACTGAAAACAATGCCTGACATATATTAAGCATTATTTAAAGGCTACAATTATTTTCATTGTCACTACCAGCAGCAGCAGCAATTTTTATACAAGTGCCACATTATTTTGTTACTTCAATAGCTTTATAGTAAGCAACATGTACAGTTTTATTATCAGATTGAAGGGAGAACCTTGGGATAATTGGACGAACTGTTAAGATTAGGCAAACTTATAAAACTGAGTTCCTAAATTGAAAGTACAGACACCTGTGAAGTCCTTTCTCAGATACCCCATTCGCTTTTATTCTTACAACTGTTCAATTTATCAAGATGTATTCTGGTGCTGTCTTGTTTTATATTCTTTCCTCCAAATTTCTTAATTTACAGAAGCTTACAGAGGCTCTATAGGTCAAAACTTTTAATGAGAGTTCTTCTTCCAAAGGCGTCATTAGCTTGGTTATGGTTCAGCTCACCTTTAAACCCATTTATTCATGCTTTCTCAAGCATTTCTCTTGAGACAACTTATTCTGAGTAGAATAAGTTGCTTAAAAAGCTTTAGTATGTGACTTACGGGGGTACTTCAAAAAGGTCATGGAAGAATAGAATTGTAAGATAATATGAATCTTTCCATAACTTTTTAAAGTTAAGTTTTTCTTTGCTAAAATCTTGAAGGAGAAAACTATTTTCGGAATGCTACCCAAATTCTTTTCTGAGATACTCTTCAATATTTATACCAATTTGCAATAATTCCCTCCATTTCTCTTTTTAAAATTATTTTTAGCATATTCATCATTACAAATCACAATCTTTCCCCATGCCCACCACCTGACCTATCATTCCCCAACTCCCCCTGCCTCCCTCCTCCCCAACTCTAGTATTCTTAGCTTTGTTCTCTCCTTCTGAGTTCCTTATATATTCTGGATATTAATCCCTTGTCAGATATAGTTTGCAAGTATTTTCTCCCATTCTGTAGGTTGTCTTTCTGCTCTATTGATTGTTTCCTTTTCTGTGCAGAAGACTTTTAGTTTGATATAATCCCATTCATTTATTTTTTCTTTTGTTGCTTGTGCTTTTGGGGTCTTATTCATAAAGTCTTTGCCAAGTCCTACTTCCTGGAGTGTTTCCCTTATGTTTTCTTTTAGTAATTTTATGGTTGTGGATCTTATATTTAAGTCTTTAATCTATTTTGATTTGATTTTGGTATATAGTGAGAGGTACAGGTCCAGTTTCATTGTTCTCCATGTGGATGTCCAATTTTCCCAGCACCATTTATTGAAGAGGCAGTCTTTTCCCCAATGTACGTTCTTGTTGCCTTTGTCAAAGATCAGTTGGCTGTAAGTATGTGGGTTGATTCCTGGGTTTTCTATTCTGTTCCATTGGTCTGAGTGTCTGTTTCTATGCTAATACCATGCTGTTTTGAATACAATAGCTTTATAATATGATTTGAAGTTAGGAAGCATTATGCCTCCAGCTTTATAATTCTTGCTCAGGATTGCTTTGACTGTTTGAGGTCTTTTGTTGTTCCATATGAATGTTAGGATTGCTTTATCTGGTCCTTCCCACATACTTTCATAAACCTCTTGCTATATTTTATTGGACCTCTGGTTCACAGGACTAGATGAGTCATAAGCCTTTGTGACACACTCTCACCATTGTTCCCACTGACTGGAATTTAGTTTTATGGTCCTAGGACAGCAACATGACCTTGTTCTCTACCTCTTGGAAGACTATGTTACTAATCACCTACTCTAGTAATTTATAGTGATGCTCATATATATCTTTGGAGAAACTATGTTTAGTCAATGGGCATATTTCTTTGAGGATGAATAGAATACTGTTTCTTCAGTACCTACCATATGGTAGGCATTTTTCTAAGTGCTTTATAGGCATTGACTTACTTTAAGCACAACTATCACATTTTTTATCCTTATAGTATAGATAAGAAAACTAAGACTCCAACAGGTTAAAGTAACTTGTCCAAAGTTACATGTTCTTCAGTACCTACCATATGGTAGGCATTTTTCTAAGTGCTTTATAGGCATTGACTTACTTAAAGCACAACTATCACATTTTTTATCCTTATAGTATAGATAAGAAAACTAAGACTCCAACAGGTTAAAGTAACTTGTCCAAAGTTACATAATTTATAAATGCCAGTACCAGGATCTAAAGTCCAGGGATCACTGATTTTGAAATACATGCTTATAACCATGAAAAACTCTTTCCCTAATTCCCACTCTCAAGATGCAATCTAGGTGGAAAATACTGGATGCACCCTATTTAGTTAACCTTAGTCAAGTTACTGCCCCGATAAAGGTAACCCTAACAAAACTACTTCTCTACTCCCACATAAAATATCAAGCTACCATGAACATCAAGGTCAGGGTACAAATCTCTAAGGCCTTTAACAGCATGAGAGTACATCTTTGTAGAAACAAACTTTTGCTGTTATAGTATGATTCCACAGGTGCCAAATGGGCTCTGCTAGTCTCACTGGGCACTATCCTGCTGAGATAGCAGGATTCTTTAACAACTTTAGGACCTGTAAGAATGCGTACGGGAATTTTTTTGGTTAATAGCTACGTGACAAATCTATGTAGTAAAAATAGTGACTTTTGCTATTTGATATCTTTTTTATAATGTTATTTTTTTGCTATAAATACCAATATTTATAGGTCCTTGTTAAAATCAAGTTGTTCATTTAAAAAGATTGTCTTTATTAAACCATAGTATCAGAGTCCAGTCAAGGAAGCAGTTCACTATCAGAGATAAAGCAATTACTTTATCAGAGAGAATTTGATATAGACAATTATTTAAGGAAGTATTGGGAGATTGAATAGGTAAGAAGAAAGGAGCACTATGTATTCAGACTTTTTAGGAATGAAGGTTTGGGTCATCTCTCAACCAGATAAAGAACTCTGACCAGTGGAGATCCTGTTTGGGGGGGAGGAGGGCAGAATAGGTAGAAGAGACAAAGCTTAATAGCAAGTACGACTATCTCATAATAACTGATGGAGTTTGGATATGTTGCTCCCCCAAAGCTCATTGTCGAAATCTGATCCCTAATGTAGCAGTGTTGGGAGCTGTTTGGGTCATTGGAGTGGGTTTCTCATGAACGGATTAATGCCCTCCCTGGGGGAGGAGTAGTGTGTGAGTTCTCATTCTACTAGTTCCTGCGAGAGGTTGTTGTTTAAAGGACCCTGGCACCTCCCTCTCACTCTCTTGCTTCCTCTTGCCATGTAATCTCCCATCTGCTGGCTGCTTGTCACCTTTCTCCCTGAGTAGAAGCAGCCTGAGGCCTGTGCCAGATTCAGCTGTCCCAGAATTGTGAGACAAATAAACCTCTTTTCTTTATAAACTACTCAGTCTCAGGTATTCTGTTACAGCAACACAAAAATGGGCTAATACAATAACATATTTGTATTTGTCTCAAATCAGTGTTATTGAATATGAAAACATTTCTTCAGAATGAGAAGAATGGCCATCTCAGATTATGAATAATATAATAGGTCCCAGGGACTTGGTTAACTTTATTAGACAAATATTATGAAAGATAGTGTTTCTGAATGGCAGCCAGTATAGGACTATATACACAGTAGAGCTCTGAGTCCTTAACCAGCAACACCCTGGTTCCAGGGCTTTACAATATAGCATGTTGGGCCTTCAACAGTGCACCCCAAGAAGGGTGGCTGGTGCAAATATCCACATATAAAGAGGGATGTGAGCTGAAGTAGAGAGCCTCTGGGCTATGGTAACACTTGGTGCCAACTAGATTATGGAGCCCTGTCTATAGGGAAGTCCATTATCATTGAAATAAGGCTCCTGTCATCAATTTGGGGTACAAAGGAAAGACTCTACACAGTAGAGGGAGTTCCAAGCAAATGGCATGGGAATCAGGGCTCATATTCTGGAGAAAACTGAAGCAAAATACTGAGAATACTGAGGGAGGCTGCTGCTTTGTGGACATGGGGAATCCAGCAACCCACCAGGGAACACAAGGTAGTCTTAAGCACATATTAACTCCAGCCCTGCACCCTCCCCTCTTGCTCCTCATGGTACCCCTAGCAGAGTATTAAGTAATGTCAGTTGGGTTCTTATTGGCTGAGGGATGTGACTGGGCTGATGACCCTGAGAGTACCAAGTCCTTATTACTAATCACTGGACAGGGTTGGGGTAGACAGAAACCTAGTGGTGCCCCTTTGGTTACACTGGCATCACCATATGGTGACGGTCCTTCTTACATTCATTTTATAGACACCAAATAAGTATGTTGGGAGAGAGATGATTTTATGTGGCTGGTAAGTGTTGGAAGATATCTCAAGCTGTAGAGCAACTGGGAAGAAGTAATATAGTAGTTGGAAGAAAATAAGGGCAGGCAAATGTGAGAAGCCAGGTAATCAGAAAGTATGAAATTTCCTGTTAATTTTATTTTGGGGGTCTTATTGGAGATATTTCAAAATTTCTAGGATTTAAAGCCAGAGAGCCAGGAGCTTTCCACATATTATGTATCTTTAAGAAAGAGTAAGATGGGGTCTTATGGACTTTTTCAGTCAGTGAGATCACTTACATTGGTCTAAACATACCTACAAAATTAAAAATCTTACTCAGAAGAATCATGACAGTAATTCCATCTTCAGAATTTTTGGATACATCAACCTTCAAATGCTATAGTTTACTAATCTTTAATTAAAAAAGTATTATCTAACAAGTAAAAATAAATTCTGACAAATTTGGATAGTTTGCATCAGTAAGAAAGTTTATTGAAATTCATTAGTAAATGAGAATAGAAAGTTTTTCTTTTTCTTTTCTTTTTTCCATTAAAGAACACTTTCTGGTAAAGTGAAAAGAAATACAGAAACCACAGAACACCTTTTAGACACCTTATTTTCAAGGAGTGAACCTATTTCTATAGACCATTAAGACTCAAGAGTTTTCTTGGCGATTTTGTTTCCCACGCATCTGTATATAATGGCCTGTGTGAAGGGAGACTCTTTCCTCTTGAGGTAACTTAGTAGTAGTGTTTCTTGGTTTCTGATTCAACCGTAGATGAAAGGACTCTACCATCAGGTGCCACCTCTTCAATAATGGTCTTGATTAATCTGGTTTTGTTAGTATCTGTGAGAATAATGAAAAAAAAAAAATCAGAATTTAGACCAAGCAATTTGTAGGGGTCCTTACTAATTACCAAACAAATATTTAAAAAAGACAAGTACATTCAACTTTTTAAAGAGAAGAAAATTCAACATTTTTACGTTGTTAAAAAACCCCCCAAGCAATTAAGTTATGGCATTTAGATCATGCCATTTTTCCTTCAAAATCGGTCTCAAGGGTACAGCTCGTTAAAACATGCAAATAGAAACCCTAAGATTTTAATTTTTAAACAGCTCTAGAGCTTCAAAAGCAACTAAAGCGTTTCAGAAAGTTAAAACTAATTGATTACCCCAGCTAGTTTCTGCTGACCTGGGTCCCTTAGACGAGGACTCTCCAGCGGACCCGGAAGACGAGGACTTGTAGCCGCCGCCGCCGCCGCC